ACAAGTGATGCAAAACAAAATTTTCTTTTTTTCTTTTTTTTTTTTCCAATTTTCTAACTAATTCTCTTGGCTTGATTCAGAAAGTTGCATTACAAAGGCTACTTCTTCCTGAGTAAACAGCATTATATATTTTTATTGAATTATAAAGCGTTGCTTGGAAAATAAATATCTTTTTTTTGGCATTGATATTTTGCAAAACTGCTTCTGTGTTTATGTTCCAGCAAGTCATTCTCCAAGAGCACTTGTTTCTTTGAACATTATTTCTGAAAGGCCTTTTGTAACACGGGGAACTTGCTGAAAAACATTTTGTTAAGGGATAATGTAGTTCTTGTTCAGGAAAAACAAACAAACCAACAAGCTCAGACAGTCAAACATATGCATTTTCCAGCTGTTGTTCCTTGCCTGGGGACTTAATTCTAGAAAGCAAAATCCTTATATTTCACTTGGTTTTGGCATATGAAGACACAAACCAAATTGAGTTAAATGACTGCTGATTAAAAGCAAAAGAAAACAACACAAAAATCCCCCCAGAATAACTTCTGTTCACTTCTGCCTTGAAATTGCACATTTGTATTTGAGTCAGAAATAGTGCTTTACCTGGAAATAATTATAGCTCTGATTCTGCTGCCTTTATTGGGATAAAACCTTCATGAAATTGGTGGAAGTTTGGATTGAGGAGTGGAGGATAAGTGCTTTAAGGCTCTGTTGCTGTCTCTGGTTCACCAGAGCACTCAGGTGTGTGCTCAGCAAAATTTAAGTGTTTAAATGTTCAACATCACCAAAGCCAACAGAAGGATTTACAAGCTTTGATAAAGTTAACAAACTTAAATATGTTAAAAAGTTAAACAAGTTAAATATGCCATTGGATCAGCTGCTAACCGAGATGAGGGGGGAAAGAAAAAGATAATAATCTTTATAATTGTTGTAATGCAAGGAACAAAAGTACAAATTACTGTGTCAGCTCTGCTGGACTCAGTGCAGATGCAATCCTCTAAACAAAGCCTTAAACATTTCCATATGCCAAGAACAGATTTATTTCTTAACTGTCTCCAGCTTTCAGAAGCATTTCAGTGACTACTTGGAGTTTCTAAAGAAAGTGAGAAAAATCTGATGGTATAGAGACAAGCACAGAACAAGATTCCTCAAAAAAAAAAATTAATCCTGCCTCCTATATTCTGCTTTAATCAGTGCATCCACACCCTCAAGCCTCAGAAACCACAAATATTCTCTCCTGTCCTTTATCAAACACACAGACTTCTTCTCCCTGAAATCACAGATTCCATACAAATTCATTCTATCACTTCAGCAAATAACAATGAAGAGTGGATGTGAGCATATTTAGGTGCAAGTTAAAGAAATATCCACAAGTATAACAAATAAATCATTATAAACTCAACTTACTGAAGAGTTTTTCTAATAATAAGTATAATGGCACTGGCAGGCAAAGAGAGAAACAGAGCAAGGCTTGAACATGACAAGAAATTAGAATTCTAGTTGTACTTTTCTACTTTAATGGGAAAACACACCAAAATGACCTCCAGGATAACTATTTTTACTGCACCTCAAGGTAACTTTAACTAATTTTTGCTCCATTCTATTAAAAAAAGGCAAAACACAAACAAAAGACTGATTTGCCCAATTCAGACATGTTCTAAAATTGTATTTACAGTAATTAGTGTGACTAATAAATAGAAATAATTGCATTTATTTGATAATGTTCAGCTTCAGTGCTCTGCACTGCTGTGCCACCGCAGAGCTGTCAGACACCACCTGAGCCAGAGGGAAACCTGTCATCACTGAACTCTTCACTCTAAGGAGACTTTTTCCACTTGAAAAACCACATTTCATCCTTCAAAATGCCAAAAAAATATAACAGAGAGCTCAGCTGAGTATGCACCAGGTATTGGGATATGAAGTATCAACCCAAAATCCTGGCTGGGCAGGAACCTCCTTGCACCACCTTCCTCTCCACAGCTTCTTGCACTGACCTCTCCCCAACCAAGGGAGAGATCCCTGGCCTGGGCAAGGATGGTCCAGTGGGGAAGTCAGGATTAATATTATTTATCCATGTCAGAGCTTGGGAAAAAGCTGCTGCCTCATCCTCCTCCTCCTCTTCAGGACAAACTTTCCACCTTTTCACCTTCCTGGGAAAAAGGAACAGGGGGCAGCAGGAGGAGGGCACGGGGTGAGGAGAGAGTGATCCCCTGGGAAAACCATGCTCAGGATGTCAAACGCAGCACCCCAAAACTCACTCATAGCGTCCAAAATCTCACAGCCCCCAAAATCTCACAGCCCCCAAAATCTCCCAGCAGGGTTTGCCTGCCCAGACCCCAGTGAGCCCCAGTGAAACCAGCTGGGTTCCTGCTGAGCCCTGGGCAAGGATGGTTCAGTGGGGAAGTCAGGATTAATATTATTTATCCATGTCAGAGCTTGGGAAAAAGCTGCTGCCTCATCCTCCACCTTTTCACCTTCCTGGGAAAAAGGAACAGGGGGCAGCAGGAGGAAGGCACGGGGTGAGGAGAGAGTGATCCCCTGGGAAAATCATGCTCAGGATGTCAAACACAGCACCCAAAAACTCACTCACAGCCCCCAAAAACTCACAGTCCTCAAAAACTCACAGTCCTCAAAAACTCACAGCCCCAAAAACTCACAGCCGGGTTTGCCTGCCCAGAGCCCAGTGAGCCCCAGTGGAACCAGCAGGGCTCCTGCTGAGCCCCAGTGTCCCACAGGTCCATCTGCAGGGTGGTGAGAGGGAAAGGATGAATCAGACACCCTGACTGGAAGGTTACCTTTGCAGGTTCCGAGAAGTCTCTGCCCCGTTGTGAACAAACACAGAACCATTCCCATCCTAATTCTGAAATTTAGTGACTCCACAGCTTGCCCAAAGAAGTCAGTGAATTCCCAGATGAGGCTCTCCACACTGGGAGAGCTGGGCTCCCCACTGCCAGCAGACAACACAAGCCATTATATTCAATATTTATATGATTAAATATATGTATGTGTGTAACAGTTTAGCAAAAGCTAAACAAACACCTGCCTGGCCTTCAAAGGGAATGTCTTTATTTCAGAAATCCTTCAGTTAAAAGGCTTCTTTATCCACTCCCCATAGAAGAGGAATTGAAAATCTTTGGACTGTCTCAGCCTCATGTCAGAGCACATTTCCTGCACCTCTAATACAAAGCACCTGTCATTTCTTTCCAGTCATTTCACATTTTGCACTTGCATAAATAAAATTTTAATTCTTGCTACAGCATGTAAGGTCTTCCCAGCAGCCTGGGCAGCAAAATCCTCAACATTTTGGATTGCCTGAGACCTCCTGCAAGATTCACACTCCAGACAAGGGCAGCGAATTGTACATTTTTCCATTTTGCTGAGTACATTGCATTACCAGGCTGTATAAAACAGTTCTCTAAGTGTAAGGTGGAGGTTAAATAACAAAGATTAGGTATCATTTAACAATCTTCTAGTCTATTAAAATTCAGTCAATATGAAACATAAAGGAAATAAATAATAGAAGTTACCTAAAATGCAAACGGCATCCGATCTCGTGGGTGCCATTATTTTTGAAAATAAATTTTGCATCAATATTCTGATTAATAGAAGCAAACCCATCATTAAAACCTCAGTACACAGCCCTCCTTTAAGCCAAAACTTGACTCCCTGAAACTCAAGATTTTCATTAAGTGCCTGTCATGTCCTGCATGCTCTCAAATGCACGGCAAAACCAGAGGGAATTCAGTTTCAGGAGCTATTTAGCATTTAACAGATGCTGGCCAGCAGTGCAGAGGAGAGTCAGATCTATGTCTCTATTGATAGCCCCATGAAAACATCAGTGATTACAAAAACAAAAGGTTCATTCGACTTTTCAATCACATTGCCCTCGGGCACTGCTGTCAGCTTCCCAAAACCGTAACAAAAAGCATCAAATGATCTCTGAAATGTAAACACTGGAGCAAATTTACTGAAAAATCCAAGTGCGGCCCTACTTATCCCACAGCCAGGCTATTCCAAACCCCTCATTAAATCTCCGAGATAATTAGAAAAGTACAGAAACAGACAATGCCAAGAAGAAAACAAATACCTCAGACCTGAATCCGACAATACCTTGATCCCAAACCTGATAAAACAACACAGCAGAGTCCTCACTGTCCGTGCTCTTTATGTAAAATTAGTTTCACTATCACAAATCGCTTAATTACATTCTGCAATTAATCACAGCAATTGCTCTATTGGTAACTGCTGTCCAGAGAAACAAAAACTAGATAGACAGACAGATTTAGTCAACTTTCTAAGTGACACAGACCAAAACAACTCAGAAAAGCCATTCTTAAAAAAAAAACAAACCCAAAGCCAACAAACCATGCACCGAGATCAAATTATGCACCAAGAGGAGATTTTTATTGTCCAAAAAATTAAAACAATAAAAAACGAACACGCCCGTGAGATCTTCCCACCACTATTAAAATAACATTCAGAAAAGTCCCGAGTTTAAGGTTAAGAATTTCTAGAAAAGCACATAATTAACACCTGCATGAGAGAGAGAAACAAGAGCTGGCGCCTCTCCTTCCCATTTGTGTCCCCATCCGCAAGAGAAACATTTCAAAGTATCCAAAAGTTTAGCGGCCTTAGGCGCCCGGTTTTTCCTTCCAGTGCACACCCTCTCCCCTCATGGCAGTCCACAAACACATCCAAGTTGTCCGAGGGATACCTACAAGAAATTTCTGAAGCTCTCACAAAAGGGCTTCGTCTATGCAATCCACACCACTGAACAGTGAATTTAAAAAACCCAATTTTTTTTCCGAGTTTGAAGTTTTTAAGCCTTGCGGATGGTTGGAGTAGGAAAAAGGAAATTTACTAGGCAGTACAAAGGAAATCTTGTTGTCCTCTATTGTGGCAGTGGGGGTGTTGCCCAATTCTAACTTATCTAGGTTGATAAAGGAAACCAAAGAACACGGCAGTGAGAAAAAAATTCCAACCAAAAAAAGGTACCCCCTCCTTACCTTAATAGTGCTTGCCATAATGTGATCAAGATTATTGATCGCTAATAATTGCTAATAATAATTATTGCTTCGCTCTGACCAGAAAGAAGTTTTGATGAGGTTGTTTAGAGCGGATGAGATTGTGCTAACTCTGGGAAATGAAGTCAGCCAATGGCAGGAAGAGGTTTCTATTGGTCCTGGCCACCGCAGCTCGAAGAAACAGGATATTTGGGAGTGAAGAGATAAGAGTCCTAAAACAATGTTGTTTTTCTTGATGATATGTGACTGAATTTTTTTTTTTAAAAAATTTTTTTGTTGTTTTTTCGGTGGTTTTTTTAAACAAAAAAGTCAATTGCCCCTGGCCGCCTGGGCAGGTGTGATGTGATGTGCAGTAAGTGTGACAGGCCACTTCGAGGCAGGATGCAGATGTCAGATGAAATGGGCCAAATTCAGCAGTGGTTTGATGCAGGCTGGTCCCTGGGGAATTGCTGATCCAGGCCCAAAGCCAGGCTGGGTATAAATGGGTGTAACTCCAAATATGTTAATGAGGTCTGGCCCTGCTTACACCACGTCTATATTTGTCCATTAACCTCATTCCTGCATTCCTGAGCTATTGACACTTTCCAGCCTATCTGATTTAGCATTTTTTTTTCATTAGTGAAGAAGCAGATAGGTTGGGGACAATAATTTCTTTTTGATGTCTCTTTCTTACTGAGGAGAGGAAGTCACAAAATGACATAAAACTTCAAAAGCAGATGTCTGAATGCCATAAACAGTCTTAAATCTTCCATGTTCTTCCCTTAATTCACAGCCCTATCCATGAATGGAAATGAGATGGTTTCACTGGCAGGTCCCTTCCTGGTTAGAGTGTGATGGCCATTTTTTATTCAGTGTTATATTTTTATTTGTCCTTTTGGAGCACTTGGCAGTCATGGGGCACCCCAGAATTCCCAGCTGTGCAAACAAAACACTGTCCCTGTCCCAGGCCTTTGTATAAGAGACCTGAACATTAAAAAAAAAATTGTAAGAAAGGCAGAGTGTTTCCACAGTACCAGCCAGGGTATTCCACTCAGGATCCAGTGCTGGCACAACCCTTTCACACTTAGGAGCCTCACAGTTTTCTATATTTTCATAAAAGATACAATTCCTGGTGTCAAGAGATTCTGAGCTTTCAGCCTGAAGAGAAAAGCTTAAAAATACAACCCGTAAAAATGGAAGGAAAAATTAGAACAAGTCAGAATTCATTCCTTTTTTTTAAAAAAAAAAACAATTTTAAAAGGTGGTCCTGCTCTGACAGGTTTATAATTTCTCATTGTTCCCTATGACAACACCCAACCATGCACAGGTTGCCTGGAAGATGATTCCAGCTGTAGTAAGGTCCTGCCCTCTGACCAGGGACTCTGGTACAATAAAAAGAACAAGAAATAGTGAATGGCTATTGCAGCATTATTCAGTGGAAGCAGATGACCTCACCCTCTCCCAATGCCGCCTTCTCCCAACCTTAGGAAAAAAAAAAAAAGGAAATGGGAGGTTTGTTCTGTAGCTGGTAATGACTGCTGGCATTCAACACACAGTTTTTCCACACAAAGACAGCAGAAAGTCCCAGTTCACTGCTCCCCTCCTATCCCGACCCAAGAAAGGTGAAATGCATTTTTCCAGAGGTGCACACAGAGTCCCTCACTGGTTTGTCCTGCAGGTGCTGCTCCATCTCCCCCAAAGCAGGGCAGAGCAAAAAGCTCATCCACCTCCCGTGCTTGTGGGAATGGCTCTGCCAGATCCAGGAAATTCTCATTTCCAGGTGTCCCATGGAGACCACAGAGCTGGGAATCCCTGGATGCAGCAGTGACAAACAATCACTAAGTTGGAAAAGAGCTCCAAGATGATAGAACCCAATCTCTGGGACTCAGGATCAACTCCCTGCACAAGATAAGCTCAGTTTTAGAGTTCACTTTAAGGAGCTCTCTATTCTTCCACTGCAGAGATTATTTTTCGTGTTTTCAGAGCAATCTGGAGTCAGCACTGCTATACAATATTTTATATTCTCCATCAGTTGGTTGATGTAGAAATGCAGTGTTGCACTGCTGAATGTGCTCTTGCAGTCTACATCCACCAAATTACAGTGCTCCTGCAGAGTAGGTAACTTTCCTATTTTCATTATGAACAGTATGAAAAGAAAGCAATTTATAGTAATTGTATTTCATGGGGATGTTGATTTCCTCCCTTTTCATCTCCAAACAATGAGCAAGACAGCCAAGAGATTAGAACCTTTCTCTTGAAATTTCAAAGCATTGTATAATGTTTCAGTTGGGTGACTTCCACTCCAGTTAAGCCCCTGATATTTTGGTTTTTCCTCCAATATATCAAGAGGTTGCAAGTATCAGTTCCAGCTCCCCAGTGGAGAGGATCTAACAAATTGATTCACAAGCAGTTTTTAGTAATGATTCTTCTCCATCCCACCTCCATATACACAAACCTCCTCTTGGTTTACACAAGGATTTTGGAAGCATAATGAGCACTGCTGAGCTCTATTATTATTATATAAGTTTTACAGAGCCCACAGCCCAGTAAGGATTTTGCCATTTGAAGCTGGCACACATTCTGTGCCAAAGAATCCAGGGAAGTTTATTTGACTTTCAAACTAATACCCACAGGCAGATTTCTGAGTGCTTACGCTGAGGCCGATCCAATTGCAAGCAGAGCTTTGGTACTGTGAGGCAAGGAAAATATTGGGTTATCAAATCACCATCATCCAGTTGCAAAAGAAAAAGAGTACAAACACTCCTGTAATTTTTCTCTTTTCTGATTTTTTTAAGGTTAAATAGAAAGAAAAAATGCTTTTGTTATGTTAGGCAACTCTGCGTTATTGTCTGAAACAATGGTTGTGAGTTTGAAAAACCTGGTCAACAAATAGAATAAAAACAGGAAAAAAAAATCCACACAAGTCACCTAATGCTCCCCCTCTAATTTCTCTCTGAAGCTTGTCACCCTAATTTGTCCTGCCTCCTTTCAGCTGGAATATTCTCCTACTTTCAGCCTGCATCTGGGAACTATGGAGCAGCAAAACTCCCCAGCATGTGTTAACACTGAACATGTGCTGAAGTGTCTTGATCAAAGCAGGCACTTGCACGTGCTTTAGAGTTACAGCTGTGCTTAAACTCTTTCCTGAACACCCTTAAAATCTGCTTGAAGTGCTTTCTACCTTTAGGACTCAAGAGTTCCCTCTTAAGAGAAAATCTCTCCAAACTGGAGATGAAGGATCCAATCTATGCTGATCTAAGCCTGCTTAAACCAACAGGGCCCTGGACAGACCTGAAGATTTGGTTTGATTATGCAGAAAAACCCAATCAGATTGAGTCCTTAATTAAGAAGATGAAATTCCAAATAGAAAAGTTGTTTTGCTTGCTGCATCCTTTCTAGGATGTACTAGAAATATGCTCAGTATGTGTGTACTCACCTGAACACCTAAAATGCATTTTACATGGGTTCAGCTGAGAGTGACTTGTCACATGGGCATGGAGTGACAGGACACAGGGAATGGCTTCAAACTGAGAGCAGGTTTAGATGGGATCTTGGCAATGAGGAATTGTTCCCTGGCAGGGTGGGCAGGGGCTGGGATGGAATTCCCAGAGCAGCTGGGGCTGCCCCTGCATCCCTGGCAGTGCCCAAGGCCAGGCTGGACACTGGGGCTTGGAGCCGCCTGGGACAGTGGGAGGTGTCCCTGCCATGGTAGGGGGTTGGAATCAGAAGATCTTTAAGATCCCTTCCAATCCAAACCATTCTATGAATTACAGAATTCCAGGATTCTATGATATATCAAGGAAACACATTGCAGTATTCCCTCTGTAAATAGATCTGTAATCCTTCTTGCTGTGTGGGAGGTAAAGAAAGAACTCTGCTCTGGGCTGACCAAGAGATTAGAGACACACTCTGCTATGGTAAAAAGGTGACTTTCATCCCTTGAACTGCACAAAAATCTCTGGGTAAATCGTTGGAAAACTGGAGATACATTCACCTTTCTGTTGTGCTTGGTATGGGTACATACAGTGTCTGCAGATGTGGCTATTAAAAGACAAGACAGCAGAGAGAAGAAATGGGTTTTGTTCCTCTCACCAACCTTCCAGGTAAAAAGGAGACTCTCCTTTAGGTAGAACCAGGCTACAAATCAAAAAAACTGGAGCACAATAAAAGAATTTGCACTGCAGTTTTTGGAAGCAGGTTTTAAGAAGTCCAAGCAAATTACTGCTACTTCATGGCACATGAAGACACATTTGTAAAGGTCTCAATCCTCTCAAAAGAAGTCAGCATTTTGCCAAAATGCAGCTGCAGTTTGGCCATACCCAGTCTGGTGTGTGAGGGTCAAGTACACTCTTACCAAGCACTTCAGCTGGATTGTGTCCTTTAATTCCCAGTTTTCCATGAGCTCTGATGAAAATATCAGTGATTCTCCTGACAGAGGGGTAAAATCTCCCCTCAGCACAAAGAAAGGTCTCACAATCAGGGTTTTAACAATGAAACAAATATGTGCCCAGGAGAGAAAGGAATTCCAGTAAGGGGCTGCAGGACCAGCAGCTATGGGGTGATGGGCTCTGCTCCCCAGATCCCCTGGAACCCCTGGCCCTGGGAATGTTGTGCCCCTGGGGCTGCTGCAGGGACCTTTTCCTTCCATGCCTGAGTGGCTTTGATGCAGCACCAGGTCTGAGAGCACAGGACAAACTCCATCCTGGGAAAAAGGGATCCAGCTCAGTGGTGGTGTTCACAGGGGTCCCAGGACAAGGGAAGAGATGAGAATCTTGACTCCATGTTTCAAAAGGCTGATTTATTATTTTATGATGTATATTATATTAAAAGAAAATTATATATATCAAAATATATATATTATATTAAATGATATATATTGTATTAAATAATATATTATATTAAAATGATATCTATTATATTAATTTTATTATATATATTATATTAAAAGAAAATTATACTAAAGAATAGAAGAAAGGATTTCATCAGAAGACTAGAAGGAAAGGAATGGAATGATAATAAAATCTTGTGACTGACCAGAGAGTCTGAGACAGCTGGACTGTGATTGGCCATTAATGAAAAAACAACCACATGAGAGCAATCAA